GCCTCTCCCGTTGTGAAGCACAGGCTCCGGGCACGCAGGCTCAGTGGCCATGGCTCAGGGGCCCAGCCGCTCTGCGGCATGTGGGATCTTCCCAGACCGGGGCACGAACCCGTGTTCCCTGCATCGGCAGGCGGACTCTCAACCACTGCGCCACCAGGGAAGCCCCTATAATGGCCGATTTTTAAGACATGTTAAAAACAAACGCTGGGACTTCCCTGGTGGCACAGTGGTTAAGAATCCGCCTGCCGATGCAGGGGACACCGGTTCGAGCCCTAGTCTGGGAAGATCCCACATGCCACGGAGCAAATAAGCCCGTGCGCCGCAACTACTGAAGCCCGCGCTCCTAGAGCCCGTGCTCTGCAACAAAAGAAGCCACCGCAGTGAGAAGCCCCGCACCACAAGGAAGAGCAACCCCCTGCTCACGGCAACTAGAGAAAGCCCACACAGCCAAAAATAACTAATAAGAAAAATGCTATCTTCAACAATTTTTGTAATTTGGGACTTGAACTGAACCTGCCTAAGTTTTTAAACAAATGGTTAAAAGTAGATAAAGGGAGTAGTTTGATTTTTTTTTTTTTTTTTTGCCAAGTAAGGAAAAAAATTGAGGAATATTTCTCTCAGTAAATTTAGATTTTTTTTAGTTCTTACAAAATATCTATTGGCTCCAAAAATCACTGAACAACTCAAAAGGCCACATTGACAGTTAATGGTCACCCAGCTATTAAAAAGTAGCTCTGGGGCTTCCCTGGTGGCGCAGTGGTTGAGAGTCTGCCTGCCGATGCAGAGGACACGGGTTCGTGCCCCGGTCCGGGAAGATCCCACATGCCGCGGAGCGGCTGGGCCCGTGAGCCATGGCCGCTGAGCCTGCACGTCCGGAGCCTGTGCTCTGCAACGGGAGACGCCACAACAGTGAGGGGCCCGCGTACTGCAAAAAAAAAAAAAAGTAGCTCTGTAGACTACCAGAAGCTGAATGTCAGAGTTCGCTCTTCCTGTTTTTCTTCCCTTCCAGATTCAGAGGAGATTGCTTTGCCCTATGGGGACACTTGCTCTTCCTAAGTGTGGAAAAAATGTGATAGGCTGTTCCAGGAATGTTGCCTTTGACAGCTTGTCTCAGAGGACTTAATATTCTAGGTGGCAATTGGCCAAAATAAGTAGGAAACTTAGGTAACTGCCAAGCTACAATACCGATGAAAATTCTGCCACAGCTAATTAGAAAGCGGAAGGGAAGTTTTTACATTAAAAAAGAACTAGGAGGGACTTCCCTAGTGGTGCAGTGGTTAAGAATCCGCCTGCCAATGCAGGGAACACGGGTTCGAGCCTTAGTCTGGGAAGATCCCACATGCCACGGAGCAGCTAAGCCCGTGTGCCACAACTACTGAGCCTGCGCTCCAGAGCCCGTGAACCACAACTACTGAAGCCCACGTGCCTAGAGTCCGTGCTCTGCAACAAGAGAAGCCACTGCAATGAGAAACCCGCGCACTGCAACGAAGAGTAGCTCCCACTCGACGCAACTAGAGAAAGCCTGCGCACAGCAACGAATACCCAACACAGCCAAAAAAAAAAAAAATTAATCAATTATAAAAACAAAAAAGAAGTAGGAATTAAATGGCTAGTGGTGAGGGACAACTATTCCTGGTGTGTGTGTATTTGTAGGGAAAGGATAAGCAGTTGTTGATTTTTATAATAATCTTATTAAAAAAGCTATTTGACAATTGATTTAAAAATGTTATAACAGTGCTCGCTTTGGCAGCACATATACTAAAATTGGAATGATACAGAGAAGATTAGCATGGGCCCTGCACAAGGATGACACGCAAATTCATGAAGCGTTGCATATTTTTAAAAAGAAAAAAATATATATTATAACAGAGCTATCTGAGAATAGCTTTACTTGAACGCTGCTTTCAGAAATCAGAAGCACATTATTAACAATACTTGCCTTTGTCTGAGCTATGAAAATAAGATAATGTGGAATCACGAAAATTCTTTTCATGGTTGCAAGTTTGTCCCATTCCAGAATGCACAGCCCTTTAAAATGTGAGTTTGCTGCTCCCATCCAGAAGTGGACTCTATCCTCCACTCCCTGGAATATGGGCTGGCCTTGTGACTTTGACTAATTGGATAAAGTGGAGATAATGTTGTACAAGTTTTGGAATTAAGCCTGAGGAGATCCAGCAATCCCACTCCTGGGCATATATCCAGATAAAACTCGAAAAGATACATGCACCCCTATGTTCATAGCAGCATTATTTACAATAGCCAAGACATGGAAACAACCTAAATGTCCATCGACAGATGAATGGATAAGGAAGATGTGGTACATATATATATATACACACACAGTGGAATATTACTCTGCCATCAAAAAGAACGAAATAACGCCATTTGCAGCAACACGGATGGACCTAGAGGTTATCATACGAAGCGAAGTAAGTCAGAAAGAGAAAGACAAATACCGTATGATATCACTTATATGTGGAATCTAAAACATAACACAAATTAACATACCTACAAAGCAGAAACAGACTCACAGATGCAGAGAACAGACTTGTGGTTGCCAAGGGGGAGAGGGTGGGAGTGGGGGAAAGAATGGGGGTTTGGGATTAGCAGAGGCAAATTATTGTATATAGGGTAGATAAACAAGGTGTTATTGTATAGTATGGGAACTATATTCAATATCCAGTGACAGACCATAATGGAAAAAGAATATGAAAAAGAATATGTATATATGTATGGCTGAGTCACTTTGCTGTACCAAAGAAATTAATACAACATTGCACATCAGCTAGACTTCAATAAAATTAAAAAAAAAAAAAAGCCCGGAGAAACTTTGCACCTTCCATCTTTATCCTCCTGGAACACCATGCCACAAAGAAGACTGGGATGAAAGATCGTGAGGAGAGAGAGAGGCCCAGCTGTGTATCAGCTGTTCCCATTGAGCCCAGCGCCTAGCATATCCACCAGCTGAATACCACTACGTTAATGAACCCAGGAAGAGGAACCACACAGCCAACAGAATCATGAAAAATAATAAATCTTCTTGTTTTAAGCCACTAAGCTTTGAGGTGATTGGTTATACAGCAACAGACAACCACACTTGTCTTGTTAGCTGCAGTTATTACAATCATATAAAGTTGAGAAGGAATTTGTTGATATAGCAAGTGTCCAAATCATGATCAAATTAAAGAGCTCTCCATATTTTTAAGAGCCCGAGTTAGCACCACAGGCTCAAGGTTACTATCTGTGATTGTTATCATGATAATTAATTTTCATCCCTGAGGCTGGTGAGATTTAAGGAAGTCACATTATTTTATATCATTTGCACAGCAACTCAGTGAAGCAGACAGGGTGGTTATTATCTACATTTTAAAGATGAATAAACAGGCTCAGGGAAGTGACAGAAGTGTTGAGACCAACATGTGGCTTGAGAAGGGATGTCCCCAGGGAAATGTCGGTGACCTCATTTTTCTTAGTTGGAAAATGAAAGGATTGGATTAGAGGATCTCTGAAGTTCCTTTAGTCATGTCAGAGGTCTCAGGCTGGGTCACATTAATCAGAGCCAGTGGAGAGGAGAAGGAATCTGGGACCATCAGAAATAGAAGCTGAGACCCCAGCCTGCATGAGGATTTGATGGAAAGCCATTCATTCACTTCATTCATTCAACAATAATTTTCTGAGTGCTTTTTACATGCCTAGCACTGCTCTAGGCATTGGAGATGTAGTGGTGAATAAATCCCACAAAATCTCTGCTTCTATGGGATTTACATTCTGGTAGGGGGCTTATGACAACAAGTAAACAAACACACTGATTTCAAATAGAGATAGGTGCTATGAAAAAAATAAACGAGTAACCTAATAAAGAGTGATGGTGGTGGGTGTGGAGGGCACCTTGGAATAGGTGGTCAGGGAAGACCTCTCTGAGATGACGTTTGACAGCCATGGGTTCAAGTCCTGGTGATGCTACTTACTAGCTATGTGAAATGAGACAACCAAGTTACCTCTCTAGCCCCTTTTCTGTTAAGTGGGGCTAAGCATAGATGGCTGTTGCATAGAATCAATGAAGTAATGCATGTAAAATGTCTGGTACAGATAACCCACTTAATAAATACTAACTTCCTTTAACTCTTCTCTCTTCCAACCAGGGTGGCAAGCTCAGACATAGTTGTGGTGTTCTTTGGTGGGGACCCTACTGGCGATTGGGTGGAATAATTCTTCACTGTGCAGGACTGCACGAGTGCATTGCTGGACATTTAGCCCACCTGGCCCCTACCAACTGAATGCCAATAGAATTCCCTAGTCATTTTGACAATCTAAAACCACTGTGTACCTGTTAGCTTTTCCCGAGTAACAAATCATTCAAAACTCAGTGGCTTAAAGCACACACAAAATATTTGTTCTCATGCTCCACTGGGTTGGGGTGTGGAACACGTACTGTGAGTCAAATTGACTGAGGCTGAATGGTCTAGAATGGCTTCCCTCACATGTCTGGAGTTGGGATGTGGGGCCTCTCATCTTCTAAGAGGTTAACCTGGGCTTCTTTACAAGGGGGTTGCAGTGTTCCCAGAAGCAAGAGAAGGCAAGCTCCCAAACATAAAGACTTTTCAACCCTCTGCTTACATTACCTGTGCTAATATCCTGCTGACCAACAAAAGTCATAAGGTTAAACTCAGGTGCAAAGAGTGGACTCCGACTCTTGATGGGCAGGGAGCTGCAAAGTCACCCAGCAGAGAAACACACACACGAGAAAACTCTGTGTCTATTTCTTCAGTTTATCGAAGTCCATGCTCTGGCTATAAATTATTCACGTTCCTCCCAACTAGGAAATATACCTATCCACATCCTAAGACCCTCAAAACTCTCATGCCAAGTGTTGTGTCAGACTTGAAGTAGTGAACTTTTTTTAAAAAAATAAATTTATTTATTTATCTTTGGCTGTGTTGGGTCTTTGTTGCTGTGTGCAGGGCTTTCTCTAGTTGCAGCAAGTGGGGCTACTCTTCGTTGTGGTGTGTGGGCTTCTCACTGTGGTGGCTTCTCTTGTTGTAGAGCATGGACTGTAGGCACGTGGGCTTCAGTAGTTGTGGCTCGTGGGCCCTAGAGCACAGGCTCAGTAGTTGTGGCACATGGGCTTAGTTGCTCCGCGGCATGTGGGATCTTCCCGGCCCAGGGATCAAACCTGTCTCCCCTTCATTGGCAGGTGGATTTTTTTTTTTCATTTTTCCAGCTTTATTGAGATATTATTGACATATAACATATGTAAGTTTAAGTATACAACATGACGATTTGATACCTGTATGTACTGCAGAAAGATTACTGCAATGGTGATAGTTCAAACCTCCATCGCCTCACATAATTACCTTTTTGTGTGTGTGTGTGTGTGTGGTTGATAGTAACATTTAAGATTTACTCTCAATAATTTTCAAGTGTACAATACAGTAGTATTAACAATAATCACCATGCTGTACACCAGATTCCCCAGAACTTATTCAATCTTAAAGAAGAAAGTTTGTACCTTTGACTAACATCTCCCCATATCCCCCTCTCATAACTTGCATCCACCATTCTACTCTCTATGTGTATGAATTCAGCTGTTTATTTATTTATTTTTAACATCTTTTTTTTTTAAGTAGATTTTATTTTATTTTTATTTTTGTGTGCGTTGGGTCTTCGTTGCTGCGCATGGGGTTTTATCTAGTTGCGGAGGGCTACTCTTCATTGTGGTGCGCGGGCTTCTCATTGTGGTGGCTTCTCTTGTTGCGGAGCACAGGCCCTAGGTGCGCGGGCTTCAGTAGTTGCAGCACGTGGGCTCAGTAGTTGTGGCTCACGGGCTCTAGAACGCAGGCTCAGTAGTTGTGGTAAGTGGTCTTAGTTGCTCTGTGGCATGTGGGATCTTCCCGGATCAGGGCTCAAACCTGTGTTCCCTGCATTGGCAGGTGGATTCTTAACCACTGCACCACCAGGGAAGCCCATATTTTTTAACATCTTTATTGGAGTATAATTGCTTTACAATGGTGTGTTAGTTTCTGCTTTATAACAAAGTGAATCAGCTCTACATACACATATATCCCCATATCTCCTCCCTCTTGCGTCTCCCTCCCACCCTCCCTATCCTACTCCTCTAGGTGGTCACAAAGTACTGAGCTGATCTCCCTGTGCTATGCAGCTGCTTCTCACTAGCTATCTATTTTACATTTGGTAGTGTATATATGTCCATGGCAGATGGATTCTTAACCACTGTGCCACTAGGGAAGTCCCAAGTAGTGAACTTTTGATCTTCATCAGATATCAATGTGGCTAAGGCTCTTTGGGTATGGTTATTTTTTTTCTTTTAAAAATTGTGATAAAATACACATTACATAAAAAATTTACCATTTAACCATTAAAAAAAATTGAGGTATAGTTGATTTACAGCATTATATAAGTTTCAGGTTTCACATAGTGGTTCACTTTTTTTAAAAGGTTATCCTCCATTTATAGTTATTATAAAATATTGGTTATATTCCCTGTGCTATACATTACATTCTTGTATCTTATTTATTTTATACATAGTACTTTGCATCTATTAATCCCCTACCCCTATCTTGCCGCTCCCCCTTCCTTCTCCCCACTAGTACCATTTAACCATTTTTATTTAAAATTAATTAATTATTTTCTATTTTTGGCTGTGTTGGGTCTTCGTTTCTGTGCGAGGGCTTTCTCTAGTTTCGGCGAGCGGGGGCCACTCTTCATTGAGGTGCTCAGGCCTCTCACTGTCGTGGCCTCTCTTGTTGCGGAGCACAAGCTCCAGACACGAAGGCTCAGTAGTTGTGGCTCACAGGCCCAGTTGCTCCATGGCATGTGGGAT